AAAAAAAAATTCAACAAAAATTGCTCAAAAATTTGTTGTCTCGACAACAACAACAACAACGTAGAAATCTTAAGTGAATGTAAACGCAGCATTTGAGAAGCTGCGCAGATAGTTGAGCGGATAAATCAACAGCTAATCAGACACCATCGAATGGTTAAAGCTGGATAGGATCTAGAGAAAAACATTCGCAAAATGCTTATTGGCTTATATGGATACACTGGCACGGAAATGATAGCTTGCCATTTTTAACCAATATGAATAGGATAGCAAGCTGTGCTAAGCGAAGGCTTATTTTATCCACAATTCACCGTGGATTTCTAATTGTATAATGGACTATATCTCTAAGTAAAGTTACTACATCATGATACCTGTGGTGAGCGCACTCTCAATGTTTGATTCTGAACTGATAAAGTTTCCGCAGGCGAAAACTTTGGACCACAAATTCAAAAACCTATATAAGTAGCAAGATCCTGTAAGAGATTGTGAACATATGGTCAGGAGGTACAAAGAAGCGGCAAACAAAAACTTTAGCACACAAATGTTACTCTAACGTATGACCTGAAGAATAAATCAAAAAGTGCCGATGCAGAAATCGGCAATATTTCGTAGACGGGTGGAAAACGTCAAGACTGGCTCAACAGGGGTGTCGGCTGATTCCGGATTTACGGAAGCGTAATGATGCCCGCGACTAATCCGGATGCGATCCATAGTGCTTAGGTTTTCGGAAATCTTAAACGAGAACAGTAATGCGTTGAAACCACGATTCAGAATGTATAATGCGGGTCTCAGCATTCTCATTGCTACCACCGCAACGCAGCCCATTTGCTCTGCGTTTGACGCGCTTATACACACCAGAAATGAATGCAAAAAGACGCGCCAGAGCCACTGCAAAGGCGAGGCGCGCGGCTAGCGAAGCGGCGGCACTTATGGGAAGTACTGAAGGATACAGACCACAAATGAATAAAAGTCCTGACCTGCACGCATTGGTTGATAAGTAATGCTGACAGCATGATTGCATGGAAAAATGCCAGAGTGAGACAGAATAAAAGCCAACTGCTAGACTTGAAAATACCATCAGCGATGGCGAACAATCTATATGGTGTGTCTCCTGAAAAATCAGCAGAATAGCTTGGTACAAGTGAAACGTTAACACCGGGAGGTCTCGAGCAAAAAAGGGAGAAAATATTAGCTATTCCGAAAGCTCGACTGCCTTTTTGTGACGAATACATCATGTCTCATGAATTTTGTAACACTTTCAAGACAAGGCTGTCCAATGCGACTTGCATTTCCGAACTTTTCACGAACCTGGATTTATTCTCTCAATTCTCGTATATATGAGGTGGCCGCATGCGTAAGAAAAAATTCCTGCAGATATAGCCACACATGCGACAAACAAAAGGAACATGCGGAGATTCCGAATCGTTATACACTGATGAAGCCAAGGACAATGGTGGTCAAAATCCATAACGCATCTGCAGTAAATGCATTTTGAAGTTTACTACTGAGTTACTTTGAATGAATCAACCCACCTGTCACAAACACTGCAATGTTTCGCTCGTTTTGGTTTGTTGACCCAACATGTGAAGCAGTAATTAACGCGTTCACAGTGCTCAAGCATGTTCACAAATTGAGTTCGTGCGTCTTCTTTTGGCTCGATAACACCGGGATTAGAAAATACAATCCTAGAGCAGGAGTTACTTATAAAAATCACAAAAACCAAAATGTTACAAGCTTCTGAAATTGCAACGTCAAACGCTCAAAAACCTACTTGTAAAGTGACCAGAATAATGTGCACATGACCAGAACAAATGCTATTTGTAGATACCAGGAAACGAAATAATGTAAAGAAAAGCACCTAAACGGCTAACGTAAGATGATAACGCAGACAATCATAAGAGATATGACTCACCACGTGACGACCATACATACAGGCTCAGCAACGCAGATTCCGACGGGAACGAGACTTTTCGAAGCAGTGTGGAAATCAAATTTGCTAACACATTGCAAGGCTATGAAACCCAGAACAAG